AGCATGCATATATATATATATATATATATATATATATATATATACACATAAAATAATGTAGTATGGAAAGTATATTTAAACCATACATAAATTATAATTTAAAACTATATTATTGATCAATATTTCTTAATCTCACTATTATCACAATTTTTGTTGTCAATCACTCCTACCATCACTTATGCCATGTGGCAATATTGGCATAACAACCATCAACATCACCATGATGCCACAAACCATTGCCCACTTCATCATTAACGACTATAGTAGTGGGAACAAAAGTTGTTACAATGACGATAATAATGGTAGTGGTGTTGTTGGTGTCGGTAATGGTGGTCGTCAACCTTACCACAATCATTGTCTCTATTATTGTTGTCACTATGATAGTAAAAGCAATGATTATGATAATAATAGTGATGATGATAGTTGTCATCACTACCACAACCACCCTCACCCCACTACTGTTATCATCGTGGTAATAATAGTGATGATGACCGTGATAGTGATGGTGGTTGTAATAATATAGACACATCAAAATGATAAAGATTTAAAGATTTGTATAAGCGTGAGACTTTGTACTAAATGATGACTTGAAAGAAATAATTAGTATTATCTATACCTGTAACGTCTAGTCGTGTGAACATTAAGTCCAATATTATATGTATATAATAATTATGTACATTATATCATTAATATTATTATACATAAAACAAAAGAATATTTTATAAACTTGCTTACATATAGTACTTTATATTTGCATCACATATTAAACAAAAAAAATTACAATAATGTACATATTTATAAACTACTTATTTCTTACACTACTTTTATAATATTTACATATTTGGTTGCTACAAGTTCACAATAGGATTGACATGGTTTGTTGGAGGTAGGAAAAAGGTGACCACTATCGGTCCATTAATAACGGTAGGAATTTCTTGAGTAGAAGAAAACATAAAAGTTGATAGTGTCGATCCTTGAAAAGTGACTGAGCTGGCGACGACATCTACAAACTAAGTGGTTCCTGAAAATACCGCGGAGATTATGGAAGTAAAAGGTCCTAGAAGTGCCGGTAGGTCCATCTATTTTTTATTATTATTATAATTAATTAAATATTTAATCAAGAAACATAAGGAGTGAGAACAATTTTCAAATAAATATTTATAATCACATAACATGCGTAGCAATAATTAATACTAGAAAATATATTAATGATACTTAACATAAAAATTTGAATTATATTTGTAGTGACTAGTCAGGATAAATGAGTATTATAATAACAAAAAACTAAAGGTTATATCACCTTAAATCTTTACTCATTTAAATCCCCAAGATAAACCTTCAACTACAAATTAATTCAAACTTTCATTCTTATGGCCATAAGATAATTTTATTAATAAGATGAATTTAAGATATTCTCAATAAAACTATATTATAATTAATATTAATATAAAAAAGAATACTTGAACTAAATTACATAAATGGAATGTATTAGAGAATATTAATCAAATAATTGACATTGATAAATATCATAAAATAATTAAACAACACAAACTAGGAACACCTCATTAATTATTATGAGTAAAAATTATCATAGATTAAGCAAATAAATGAGGTTAGGGACACCTCACTAAATAAATACACACCAAATATAACATAATTAAATAAACATAGTAGCATATAAAATTTTAAAAAGATAAAGTTCTCCTCCTCCTTACCTTAAGAAAGTGATATATCCTTGAAATACTTCAACAAGTTATATTATATTTTTTTTTCTCTCTTTCTCTCTTTTCTCTCAATCTACGTTCACTCTCTCAATGCTCTCTCTACATTCACTTTCTCAATTGCCTCTGCATTCACTCTCTCAATGTTTCAAGTTATTTATAGAGATTTTGGCAATGATTACGTAGTTACAAAATAATGGAGAATTTGAAAGAATTTGGTTCTAATTAGCATTCCATTACCATTCTAGTTTGTTATAGATCACGTTTTATCACTTTAGAGAATAAGAATTCTCCCCAGGGATAAGAATTCTGAAATCCTCATCCGTGCATTTATTGCACAGTTTTTTTTTTATCACTAAAAAAAATTTGAAAAAACATTTAGAATATATATATATATATATATATATATAAACATAATCAAAATGTTATTCTTGAAAATTTATAAAAATAATCAAAATGTTAAAAAAAATATATAAAAATAATTAAAATACTATTCTAGAAAAAAAAAATATTTGAATTACAATATTTTGTTTTGTTCAACTATGGTTTGTTCAACTATAAGAATCCTAGTGTATCAAAATAAAACATTTATATTTATTTATTTATCTTGAATAAAGTAACTAAAATTTAAAATAAATATATATGCATTATTTTAAAAATTTATATATTACATGGAAAATTTAGAATATTACAATACCAACAATATGCATCTATTTTTTGGTAATTCATATCACTTAAGAATTAATTTCACAATTAAACATGTTTGACTTGAA